AGACCACCCTGTATAATAAACGACTCCCATTAATGACGTGTCTTTCGAGTTTTTATTCTTATGTCTTTGGAGAAAGTACACAATTCAAATATTTCTTTGTTCAACGATAAAACTTAATTATCTGACCTCGATATGCGTGTGATATCGCACGACATACCTAGGTCGAAGTTTCTAAATGTATTGCTCGGGGGATCGTTATCAGATTCCTCCCTCTCCGTCCGCGCTAGTTGCCAGGAATTCCATCGGATTCGTTGACGAGCGGTCCAGACCCGATCGCCACGAAAGTGACGCCGAAGTCGCGGAGATTTTTTCAAAGAGGATCCCCTGCCCCCTCGATCACAGGCCGCGGGGACAACGCTCCCGCCCTCTCCTCCGATTAGATGACCTCTTTGAGGGACTCCGGTGACCGCGCACCCAGCGCGAATCCCATCCGCGTGCGAGCGTATTTGAGAAGCGTACGCGCAGTCGGGCAAGGAAAAACGCACCTGCAACGTGGCGCACGCAACGTGACGTGCGCGAGACATACGCGGCGTGCCTCGAGGAATCCTCATTGGCCCACGAAACGTGAGATCTCTCGTAGCCACTTCCCTATCGAACACGTTTGTCCGCGAATAAATTAACATACGTTACATACACGTTATACACGCGCGCACGCGTTACGCGCTGGCTCCTAGGTCGTTACTCATATTTGTATAACTAGCCGCGGTACGTAAAATAAGAAGAACATCAAAAGTCCAATGCGTGCAAACCTTCTTCGCTGTTTATTTATAATTTTCAGATAATCGTGGAAGTCGCGAAGCGCGGGTTTCCGAGACGGTAGTTACGCCGCTGTTCCGTCGGCGATTTACAGGACGTTCCAAAGGGCGGAAGCCGGCGTACCAGGTAAACCGGTCGCTCTCCTGGATCCACCTGTAACCCTGGTACAAACCGCCGTGCGTAACGGTACAAACACGGCGTATGGTGGCTCCTCACGGTGGCGGAGCGAGTTACCTTCCTCGTAGGCGAGGTCGAGAGCGGCCGCATACCACGATCCGGAATCGCGTCGTGGAAGCCAGTCGTTGCTCGATCGTCCGCGACGCTCGGATAGGACAAAAAAAAGACAGAACCGAAAGACCGCGACGGACGGGGCGGGCCCGCGGTTCGCGCGCAGTTTCGAAGCCGTGCCCCGCGAAATAAGTCGTTGCGGCGTCCCGACGTCTCCTCCGGCTTGGATCGCCGCCGCTCCCGCATTCCTCCCGGAACCGCGTGGATCCTCGCGCGGAATTTCAGTCACATCGCCCGACCGAAAATTCGTCTTCTCTCCCGGCCGATCGTTCCAACTGGCTCGCGCCACGATCCTGTCGAAGAGGACGCGGCGGACGCGTTCAGAGGTGAGTTCTCGATCGCAAGAAGTGGCCTGGGAAAGCTGGCTCCGCGATTGTCGCGTTCGATCTCTCGCGTAAGCGGTGTCGAAGACGCCGCGCCGGAGACATCGATGCCCGCCGCGGCGATATCGTCTCTCGCGCACGCAGGTCCCCGCGTCATCGCGCTCGTAATCGATGTATCGCCGATGACGGCACGGGATGAACTCGTTTTAAAATTAGCTTGTGTTATTGCGTTTCGTAAAATTTCGGCCTCTCGTCACGCTAAAGCAGCAACATTTCGGTAATCTGCAGATCGAAGCACTATTACAGTAATTGTAAGGGCAGCAACGTGCACGATATGATAAATATTTATGAATGTTTTGTATATTTTATTAAATTATTAAAAAATCTTCTGTGTCAGTAATAAGGTAAATAAAGAAAAACATATAATTAGAGGATCATCTGTAATTTACAGTATTGAAAGTGGAGGACAAAATCTAATCGAATTATTCGAAGAGAAAATTTATAATAAGCCCTGACGGATGTACCGAGAGTTAAGGAGCGAAATCTCTGGCATTGTTTTCTTTTTCTTTATAACATGAATTAAACTTGAAACAGCGATACGTCTGTTGATAAAAAATGATAGTCATACTTCTGTGAAGATTTTCTAATTCTTATCTTCACGAGTAAACCTGTGAATACATTCTCGACCTCCGCTCGGCAATTGTGAGGAGAGCAAAAAGGTTTTATCTACTAGGAGGAGATTTAACGTAAGGGACTTATCTCTTAAATACCTGTCACCAGACGCCTTGCTCGGTAAATTTTGGATTAAAAACGAAGGACGTGGAATTCAGGTACACCATGGTCTGGAACAAACGTGATACTGTGCGTATGTGCGTGTGTGCGCGCGTTAAAAAGTTCAGTTCCTGATCTGTATACCAGTTCCGAGGAACAAGCGAAGGTCAGCAGTCAGTTCTTATGCATCGGGTGCTCACCAGGCCAGTTGAGAATCAAGAAATTTAGCTCGGGCCCCGGCTCGGCCCCGCGTACGTGCACGGATTGTCCCTCGCGCGTCCGTTGTTGACCGTGCGTGTAACCGCGCGAGCGGGGTGTAACGAGAGTAAATAGAATAAACGAGAAACAGTTAAGTTAATACCAGAACAAATATAAATCGATCCACGCGGATCCACGCGAGAAACGAGATGCGGGACTCGTCGTCGGGTCTGTTCGAGGGGACACCGCGACGGGGTATCCGTCTCTACCGTCGCAAATGTCGGAACAAAGTTCACGCGGTTGGCTTTAAAATGGCGTGCCGCGGTGCGCGACATTCCGGCCGACGCACGATTAGGCGAAAGTAGTAGTAGTATTCAAGGACAATGCATCCAAGACCGTGGAAGAGACGACGTTCTCCCGTTAATGGCGCCCACTCGTGTCGCCGGAAAATTGAAAAGAATACGAAAACTCCTCTCAGCTCCCCCCCTTCGACTCTTTAGAAATATGTGAAAGCGGAAACGGGCATATACGACCGTTGAATTAATGCAGTTTACATTTAAGACGCTGTGTGGAGAGACGTATGTGTGTACGTTGACTTTGCGATATATTTTTGCTTTAGATAGTAATTTCTACATAAGTAATACCACATCATTAGTAACGCTGGGAGATTCAAAGGAGGATTTTATATACTGTACTTGCGCGCGTTGATTTAAAAAAAAAAACTTCTCAAACTCTGAAGGAGTAAAAGGACGGAAGCTCTCAATCTACAGACATGGCGTGACACGTTGAGTTGGAATTAGTAGCGTTAAATGTGGGCGGATACTAAATTGGAATTTTAATAGATTTTAATTAAACACTCGGTGAAATGTTGGCTTCTGGTACATTCGAACGTTGCGGCAGACTGGCATCAACTGCGTCCGCATTAAACTCGTGTTTTGCTAGCATAGCCTGCCCACTGCGGCAGCAGAATGTCAACAGGAGCCGAATGGAACCTACCATTTCGTAAACATTTAAACGCATCGTTTAAAATGTTTAAATGGTTGCAAAATTGCAGTGTCAGTCGGTGTCCGCAGTCAATCCGCGATCCTGTTCTACTCGCGGATTAATATTATAAGTATTTTTGCCGGCATTTCGCGGGAAAAATTTACAACTGCTACTTTGCAAAATCTCTTTTCAATTTTTGGCAATTTAGTATTAAAAAAATATAAAGAAAAGATACGTCACCAGACTTTTAAAAGCAAACGGAACGTCTCGACATAGAAATCGCTGCTAATTTTAAAAGAATCGAGCTAGCACTTTGTGATTATCGGGAGCTTTGTATTCTTGAATGAATGTTATATGTCACGTAAGTCCCGCATACCTTTTCTTAAACATCCTGTACACATAGAGTAAGGTGACCAAGTTCGGATCAGATACCAAATGCGGATCAACAATTTGACGAGTCGCTTGTAAGCGACATTTTAAAGTAATTTACTTAAAGTTTGCTTTTTTATATATTTACAACTTTATGCTATATTGTCGATATCACAAAAGGCATCGACGTGTTTCTATGTCGCTTATTGTCAAATTGTTGATCCGCAGCTGGTATCCGATTCGAATTTGGTCACCTTATCCTATACTTGAATATTATCTGCTATTAATATTCCGCGATACTTGCTCGAAACTATCTTTCTTAAGACTTATTCCACGCCGGATAACAACAATATCGAGGGACGGTACTAGAGAAAATTGTGCACAATCAATTGTTAGAAATTCTCGACGCTACGAATTTCACTTAATGCTAAAGACTCGTAATGTTCTCTTTATGGACAGGCGGAAATGATTGACGCCGAGGAAACGCGGCGCGATCGCACGCGAACGGCTCGCCGCGCCGTGGCGTGGCACGAAAGTCCGATTGTGAATGATACGGAGCGAATAATAAAAAAGACTCGGGGAGAGAAAGTGCTTCCTAAAAGCTGCTTTCTTATCGGCCAGTTCGGCCACTGGTTGAATTTCGTTCGAGAGACCGTGCCCCCCCATTTGATACACTCGGCTCGATCGAGCGCGGCGTTTTCGGCCGGGAACGCGACGCGAGCGGTGACTTTGAAGCCGGCCGGTTGTATGCACGAGCGACGGGATCACGCACGATTGATCTCCCGATCCGCTGGCTCCTGCCTCAATAGCCGCGAGAGAGGCGCGATTATGAATTACATAAGATCCTTGTATCACCGCCGCAGTCCGCGGGCTGCTGCTTTCTCTGTCTGACCTGGATAACTTGCATCGCAAAGTTCCTATTCTCTCGCCGCCATTAACGCTCGCTATGAGATTGTCGTTGCAGAGAGGGAGAGGGAGAGAGAGAGATTTATTGTCCCTGGAGGTTTTACCCCTTAAGTCGCGCACAGTGAAGCCAATATACCTGCACGCGTTAACCTTAACGACTAATGTGCTCTTTGCGTCTAGTAACATTCGGTTGTATATAAGCAAATCAAAACGCTTGACAAGTTACGATTATACAACGTATAATGTACAATTTGTCAACTTGCACAAATTTTTTAAACGTATTTTGGTTACAAAATAGAATGTTTTTAGGTGCAAGAACATATTGTAGATTAGGCTTAAGAGACACTCGCGAAGGGATTAAAGCTTGAAACCGAAGAGGGTGAGGCATAATTACGTGTAGGTATTTCCGCAAGTCTGATTTGCATATGTCTTTCAATTAATACTGCACATAATTGCACACAGTACACGTGCAACTTCGGAAATCAGCTCTGTACGTGCGGGCTTTCGTTCCAGTGTTTCATTAAAAGTAATTAAATGTGCCGCAACCACCACAATTATCTCCCTCGAGTCTTTGAAAATTAAAAGTAGATTTCCGCCCCAATTTTTTTGCGTCACGTCGAAACCGGCAGTTTCCAATATATTTCACGTAATAGGATTGTCGTCATCTCACGCGCACGTTACACCCCAATTTTCGTTCTACAGACACGAAAGTGACAATTTTTTTAATCCCGCAAAGATGAAGCGTTTCCTCCCGTTCTCAAGTGTCAAGTCCAATTCTAATTTTCTAAATCTCTCTCCGGATCCCGTTACAAACGTTTAGACTTTTGCACACGGGAGAAACCTGATCTGGGTACTAAATACACTCATGTTGACAGACGAAGAGAATGACGCGCGACACGAGTATCGTTTCGCGAAACCGGTTAGCCGCTTCGCCGCGAGCCGGGTCGCCGAAAGAGCCGGGTAACGCTGGAAGACATCGCGCGGCGCGGCGGACAATGAACAGCCGGCGGTGTCGAAAGGCCAAATCGCCCCGTCGTCGTCCCGCCATTGTCTTCTCTCGCGGCGAGTACCTCGCTCCCTCGAGTCTAACCCACGCGTCCTCTCGCAGCCGCGCGCTCGCAGACCCGCCGCCGATCGAGGGTGACTAACCAAATTAGCATAAAATTGCGAAATGCATTCCGCGGTGCGCGAGCACGCCGGGGAAGGACGCCGGCTCGGCGCGTTTGCTACTTTTACTGGGAGCCTTTGGCCGCGCGGAGATTTATCCGCGTCGCGAAGCGCACGCACGGCGGGGTCCGCGAGGCTCTGCCGTCTCGGCAGCCGCGAGAGTAAAGCTGGAAACATACGAGATAGCTTGAGCAGCAAGACTGGACCCGAGTCGAGTATTTGGTCCCGGATAATGGGCCTCAATTATTCCATTCTGTCTTCATTTGGACCTCGGAGTCGGTTCGAAACTCCAATTTGAGGCCCAGATGAGTAAAAAATTGTGTTTAATCTTATTCCGACCCTCAAAGAGAATGCAATCAAATATTTTATCCTCCTTGAAACCTCTTGGGCCGAAGAGAATCTACCGAACTTCTGTTGATTACACTCGTATTGGCCGCTCACTGCTAAAAGGGAAATAGCGACTCTTTTCACTCTCTAACAGTCAATCAGTGAATTATCACTGAAAGCAGTGAACTGTCACTGAAAGCAGCGAATAGTCACTGATTTGCAGTGGTTACTTACAACAGTAAATCAGTGACTATTCACTGTTTTCAGTGATAATCCACTGATTGACTTTTAGAGAGTAAGTTTCGAAACGGCTGCTTAATTTTCGACTGTTATTAAAATCACTTCCCTTAAGTTTTACTGCTTAAGTTTTTTAGGCCTTAAAAATTTTGCGACGTAAAAATTGAATTTTAAACACGGCGCTGAAAAGTATGGGAGGTGGATCACGAGAATAATTACGACGTTCGTTAGAACACTCTGCAATAGAAACGTGTGTTGTATCAACGATTAAGAAATAATACTATAAATGATGGAATTGAGATCGAGGTGAACTTGAATGGTAAGTTTGCGAAGCCGCGGACATTGAAAATAACATAATTTTACAGCCTGATGTTTTAATTTTAAACGTAATCTCATCTGAGAAACGGGGAAAGTTACAGCAACGTGAGTGAGGAGTAACAATTATTGTCAAAAGGAGTTGTAAAAGTATCTGACGAAATAAAGATACGCAGAGTGTCAATTTCTAAGAGACAATATAATTGACGGAAGTTGAGAGAGAAAGTGACACGACTTGGTTTCACGATCCCTTTGTATCTACGGTTTCCGCTCTGCAATGATTAAAATATTTTCACGCGCGTAAGGAAAAAAAAAGAACGAGCTAATTTTTGCGCAATTTGCAGCAGCGGAGTGATGTCATGTGCGGTGGAAGGTATAAATGATATTTATAGGTATGCATCTTGTGTACACGTCGTAGACATATATGTAGATACACGCGTGGTCGTGTGTATCTCGATCTCGCGGCGCTGAACACTCGTTGCGACACTTCCCATATTTCCGAACGTGCAATTATGATCGATATCTTAAGCCGCGCTCGCGCGCCGAACTAATGTTCCCTTCGGCATCGCGGCCGGAGTAACATTTACGAAGATTATCTGAATTTTAATAAAAAAAACTGCTCTTTCGGTGGAGCCCACGGCCCCTATTTCGAACCCTCTTTTATCGACAAAAGCGCCTCGAAAAGTGCCTAATAAAGCCTATCACACAATGCGAGGCAACAGGCAACAGGAATAGGGAATAGAATTTTTGACGCGTTGGATTGGTTGAAGGAAAATTTCCGACGAATCCAACGCGTCAAAAATTCTATTCCCTATTCCTGTTGCCTGTTGCCTCGCATTGTGTGATAGGCTATAAGCCTTCTGATTGGCTACAAGCCTCTTTTATCGATAAAAGTGCCTCTAAAAGTGCCTAATAAGCCTTCTGATTGGCTACAAGACACTTTTAGAAGCATTTTTATCGATAAAGGATTCGGAATAGGAGCCCACGACTTTAACTTGGAGAATTGTCTCCCCCGAGCAATTAAACGTCGTTATAAATAAACAACTCGTAGCCGAGCGGTAACATTCTTCGAACTGTGCCGGAAGTTGCGGGGTGATTGGGAGGGATAACTGAACGGCAACGCGGGGCGACGCTTCCGTTACAAGCACGATCGTCGGCGTAATATTTCTCGGCACGCGCGCGAGATCTCTGACATTGAACACTCAAAGAAAACTGATCTTGCAACTGCAGCAACAATTTTCTAGGTACCGAGAAATATCTAAGCTATATAAGTGAGTGGCCAATACCGCGAATTCGCATAAGTTTTGTATATAATCAATTTAAATAACAGAAACAGAATTTCTATCTGAACTGTGGGCGAATCCCTGGCGGAAAAAAATTTCTATAAATAACTACATAAATTGACTTGAAATAGAAATTTGTAGAAATTTTTATATCTTCGTTGAAACATTAATTTTTTTGTAAAAATATCTACGAAATAGTACCACAAATTACAATGTTCCCAAATCAAGAAATTATTACAAGTAGTACTTCATGGAAATGTACAATTTTGTAAAAATTAGTACAAAACTTAGTACTAAACTTTACTAGTTTAAAAATTTAGAGAAACAACACCAAATCTTAAAGAATTAAAAGAATCTACTTGCTTGTAGAGTTTTACAAAAATTAACAAAAGTGTTCCAATTCCAGCATTTTCATATTGATTTTTATAACACTTTTTACATTTACGTAGAATTTCTCAGATCCTGGCAGTTATATTTTATATTTTTGTAGAATTTTGTAGAATTATTTCCGGCAGGGATGTTAGGAAGAAAGTTTTTCTATGACGCCCATCCATTATAACGTTTGATTGTGGTACAAACAGTTATATTCCTTACAAAGATTGTTCTATGGTACCGAAATTTAGTTTTAGCCAATGTGAACGATTAATGTTTAGTCGGGAAACCTAAACTGCCCAGAAGGTATTGCTAGAACGTTGCTGCTATACATTTTGTAGACTACAAACAATTTTCCAACAGATACACAAACTAGTGATAAATTTTTGTTGCGATACCTAGAAATTTTCCTGCGTTAATAAGATATTTTTTTGAGTGAAGGCTGGCGGACAGTTCGAACGGTATCGCGTCCAAGTCAGCTGTGAGAGCCGAGGACTCACGAGCTAAGGAACCAAATTGTAATTAGTCAAAATAATCAGTCGAATCGTTTTTGGTTTCAGAGAGGGCCGATTGACACAAAAATGACGGATACTTTCACGCGGAGATCGATTTAACGCCGTTCCAAGATGTACGCCGAGTGGCAAAAGGTGAGTTGATATTTTTATTAGCTACGTGTGTATCTTGAAAGGCCGGACTCTCTCTCTCTCTCTCTCTCTCTCTCTCTCTCTCTCTCCATCGTCGCGAGTCGTTTTTACGTGGCTGTAATATAATAGCAAATACGCTCGCGGATATTGAATCAAGTACCGCGCGTTTCTAAAGTTGTGAACGATTGCTTTATCGAGGAAAGACCTGCAATCGGACCAAGTGTCGGGCGAAGGGAACGACACGACGAAGGAGGAACGGTCATTCTTCGACCGCTTGTTAATCGTTAACCCTTTGAAGCATGGTGGTAACCTACGTTATCACCTCAACTTTTTTACTTTTTGGCCATTTAATTTCTAGTTAACACATTTAGGTCGGGTTTCTTGCATTTTTTGGAAGTCTTAACAATAAAAGAATATAAACAAAAGAGTTAAGTAGTCTTTAATACTTATTGTAAAAGTTTTACAAATAAACAAATATGAAAAAACAGCAATGTTTTCGGAAAAATTCCTTATTGACCAAGTTTTTTAAGATTATTTCTTGAAAACTTTGTACAAAGGGGTTTTCGGAGCCGCTCATTGCGAATCTGATGTCAGATTTTCAGAATTCAAAATGGCGGATGCAAAGTACGTGAACGTTTTAAGTTTTCAAGTTTTTCAGCATTTTTGTTTGATTACGGTATTTAGAGACTCATCACGTCCGCGCTGTTAGCTCTAAGTAGTGCTAAGAATGAGTAAATTCTAAGAAATGATAAAATTACAATTTTGCATCCGCCATTTCGCGCGCGCTATTTTTGATATTCTATAAGAATTTTCAATTGGAGTTTTGATTCCATGGGTCCTAATAATATCTAAATAATATTTCTTAGCGTAGTTGAATTACAGTTATTCTTTTAAGTTTTGAATCCGCCACTTTGAATTATGAAAATCTGACAACGGATTCGTAATCAGCGACCCCCAAAGACCCTTGTATACAAAGTTTTACAAAAAAATGATGTAATAGCAAAATGTATGCTTTAAAGGGTTAAGGCGTCGCGCGAGTCCCACTCGTAGATTCGTAGGTCTCGCGGACGGTAAGACGGTCATTTTTGGATCGTCATGGCATTGCACAATGTTTACGTGGTCACGACCGCGGTGGGATCTCGCTGCGTGGTCGGAGTCAATGATCTGCGCACACGCAATTGCATTGCCGCTCGCAGCAGCCACTTTCCAACGCCTCGTCCGGACGGTCTCTTTCGACGCTTAGTCAACGATCGATCCGCGCGCCGATCGTCTTCGATTTTGCAGGGGATTAAAGGGGCAAAAAAAAACACCTTAGCCTAAGAGAAATGAGTTTCCTAAGGTCGCTTGAAAAATCGTTCGAAGTGAGAAGCGAAAAGACAATACGTGTACCAGACTGTTTTAAGTGCGTGCATTTTTTTAAAGAGATAAAACGACTCTGCCTCGCAGAGTTAAAGAAGTCGACTCCTTTTTAGTATCTCGAGACGTCGACGAAGCTTTCGAGTTATTTAAGCGAAAGAAATGTGCTCTCACGAGTGAGTTTTAATGCAGCCGTGTGCAAGACTTGATTCGCTTGGTTGCTACTAAAAATTAGCGGTTACCTGCGAATGACAGGCGGCAATGCGGAGGCGAATGCGAGCGTTTTATTTTTTTTCCCGTCGCGGATGCGCTCGGAATGTATCGCGAGCGGGCTGGCGCAATGGCGGCTTCTCACTTTTACTTCGCTCCCCGCGCATCCAATCGCGGATAATGAGCGGTGGAATAATTAAGGAAGCATTCCGTACGTGTGTGGTGGAAGGGCATTAACGAAACCGAAATGGACATTAAACAAGCGGCATTATCGAAAATGAAGACGCGAGGCCGCTGGGGGATTTAACGAGCCGCGCTTCTTTTTACAGCCCGGATACATTTTTCCCTTCTGTCCGCGGGTGAGAATTGATCGATTTTCAAACGAAACGTCGTGTCGCGGGCCCGTGTCCCCTCCTTCCTTCAATTTGAAAGAACGAAATAAGAGTTGCGTAACGCAATCCGCTCGACGTCGATAAATCAAAGCGCCGTCGCTGCAAGAAGAAGAAGAAGAGGTAATCGTGTCCCATCTTGCGGTTGCGCTCGCCGCGCTCCGCAATCGACAATTTCTATCGCTCTTCTGCAACTCGCCACGGCCGCTAGGCAGAATAGCTTCCCTTCGCGCGTTCCTGCGCCTCCCGCGTAAGCCCACCTGTACGTAATACCCGCCGCACGTGCGCGTGTGTGCGGCGTGTGCGCGCGCGTATTTAGCGCGTAATTTATATAAGAAGAGAGGCACGCTTGGTTCCACCCCAAAGCGCTTCGATCCACTGGCGCCGGTAGCTTATGATTTCATCGCGCCAAATCCCGGCGTGACGGCCTAAACCGCGCGTAGAAAACTCCCGGCGAGATCGGCCGATAGGTGGGACAAAAGCGGCGGGTGGGCCGCGGGGGGAACCGGAAGAGGATCTCGGCGATCCGGCGGCGCCGATTGGAGCGGCGCGTTCTCCGATCGTGGAAATATGGGCCGCTTTCGGGCACGGCCTAATTAGCGTGTCTCAATTAAAATTGCATATACGCCACTGCGTACGCGAGGCAATTGTTGCGGAGAGGGAAGGAAGGCCTCGCAACTCCCAGTGCCGCGTCGAACATCCTAGCGTCCGCATCTTCGCGCGATCATCTTCGGCCTCGCGAGGCGAAAGGGGGACCTTTCCCTCCGGAGGAGCCGCTTCTTCCGCGAGAAAGGGTTTCGGCGCGCCGCCGGGCTATCTGGGATCATCGGCGGCCGGGGAGGACACCGGAGGATGACACCGCCGGACACCGTTAACGAATTCCGCGTGTGCGGCACCGGACTCTTGCCGACTGACCCAATGAGCCCGATAGACGCCTGCGTGGCCTCCTAACTTCTTTAAAGCCGAATTTAGCATGCGCGCGGCGGCGCGGACCTCGCCGAACGACTCGGGTCGCGATCGACGATCGTGACGGGACTCGCCGATAGGACCCGGTCGGCGCGGACGCCGTCGATCGGCCCGAAATGCGGGGAAGGGCCCGCGGCGGACGGAAGGCGGAAAACGGTACGCGGAAGTAGCCGCGCGTCGGACGGTGGCTGCTAACCGAGTGCCGAAGCTCACCCTGACATATTCGCCGCCGCAGGTCCCGATTGGAAACGGGAAAGCTTTATGCGGCATTGTTCCGCTGCAAACTCTACAGCCGCACGAAGCGTAGATAACCGATAACTAACTGAAGACCTGTTCGGCCGATCGCGACCTGCTTGACCGGTTTTTCGCCGCGTTTCTTTTTTTTTTCGCGTAATAAACGGTGTTAAAATCGCGTTACGCCCGAGCGACTGAGTTTCACAAATGAGAAAAGAGCGAGATATTAAATGCAATAAGTGATGCGCGGGGCGCACGCTGTTTACTTGGTGATTCTACGTTCGACCGAGTGAATCGACAGACGGTAATTGGCATCGTCATAAATATGCGTGTGAAACGTGGCTGACACCGTTTTACTCGGCGGGGTGATTCGCGCGGAGTTTTCGAACGTTTCCCGAAACGACCGACCCGTCGCGTCGCGTAAATTTCAAGCGAGCCGTCGAAACCTCACGACGATCCCGCGAGTGAAAGACGCGCGTCTCGATACCTGCCCGGCGCATCCGAGAGAGTTGCGCAGCGGGCATTGACTTGAAACGCGCTACACGCGTCCATCATCCACGACGAGGTTGTTATTTAAATTGAGCGAACTTGAAAGGAAGAGAGAAGGAGATGCAATCGAAAACTCGACGTCGCCGCAACTGAGGAAAAACGCAATCATACTGCACGCGATGTTTTAAAAAGAAAAACGCGGGAGGGAGAAGTAAGATATTCGTACACGTAATCGTGAACTGTGGGAATCACCGGGGATGAACGCGCCCTCCCGTTTCACGTCGAAGATCCATGCGCGAGCGTCCTCCGAGACTGCTCCCGATGCAAGCCGCGATTGCGCGTCCGTAATCACGCGATTTAGCGAATCGCGCGTCACGTCATTTGCGCGCGTACGACTGCGAGCGAGGATGAGCGAATAAAGACGTGCATCAGTTTCACGAAAGGCTCAAACTCGGGAGAATATCAATCATAATTTTGCGAACGGAGATGCCTCCCGAGTTCCCGAATGATATCTGAACTGCGAATGAGTGTTCGAGGCCGGTAGAAAGTCGGTAAACTCTAATAGAGAAGCTGTCGATACAGGCGACAACGAGGTCCTCGGCGATTACGCGAGGAGAGAAGTCTCGAGCGAGAAGGCAAGTGGCGTGCGATCGGTCCGCACATGAAGTGCGCGGCTGATCGCCGATATCCCCGGCAGCGATGGCCAATGCGGGGTCGAGCACGAAGCAGCAGCAGCAGCAACGGCGACGCTGGTCCGTGGGTCGATCGTCGACCCCGCGGAGTCACTTTTCGCTGCACTCCTCGGAAGCTTTCTACGCGAACGCGGAACCGTTATCCGGCGGCCGCGGCGGACGCGCATTGCATAATGCGAGCGGCAGCGGCCGAGACCCAGATTCGAATCCCGCCCTGGATTTCTACGCGCCGGAAGCGGGTAGCAGGCAGCAATACCGGGCTTCCGCCTGGCGGCCGCCCCAGGACGCGGGCGACCGACGCGCGAGCGTCGCGAGGAACGACCGTGAGATCTTCTACACGGTGCCGCGCGGCCTGGCGATCTCCAGGAAGGAGATCTTGCGGCGCAGATGCGCCAAAGATGACGTCGAGACGCCCCGCACCACGCCAGAGAGGGATCAGCTCGAGAAGAGGCCGAGAACGTTGCCGTCGATCGGCAGAAGAACGCGCCAAGACGCCGAGCGCGCTTCCTCGCTCTTGAAGAAGGTCTCGAGGCAGGATATCCTGCGACGTCGCGCGAGCATAGAGGCGAGCTCGCAGTTGAAGGATGTCGCGAGAACGCCCTCGGGTTTCCCGAGTGCCGGTCGCTCGGCGAAAGAGGACCGCGACCCTCCGCGGCCATCGACTTTGCCGAAGATCCTACACGCCTCTAGATCGGCTCGACTGGAAGAGTACTCCTCGTCAAGGACCAGGGAGGCTGCGGGAAGGGAGGCGCCGATCTACGGGAGGATTCGGCGACGGAAAATGTCGCTGCCGACTGGCACCGCGACGTTGCGCGACTCCGCCACTCCTTCGAGCACTCTGACGAGATACTCCAGGACGAGGGCGAGTGGAGAACGCGCGGATATCTCGACGAAAGTAGTCAGGCATCTGCGAGATCCCGTTCCCGATCCGCCTGATCGATCCAAGTGCGCGGACGATGATATTTATGTCAAGGTCGCGCGCAAAGCCTCCAGGCAAGCCTCTCACGCGGAGAGACCAGAGCCGATCGACAAAACAATGTCTAGGCGCAGAATCATCAGCAACGTGGACCAAATGGGCTCCTTGGAGCGAAGGATGCACCAAGATCGAGATCAGGACGTGGTCAGGGTTAAGCGCGACGCCATATTAGTCTCCAAAGCGGATATCGAGCGGCTGCGTAATTTCCAGGCGGACAGAAACGATCTCGAGGACGGAAGGGCGGCTTGCCGCGCGGACTCCGCCTGGTCCACGAGAAGAGATACAAAAACGGACTCTTGGTCCCGCAACAAGTGCCCACGTAGAGACTCCACGTGGACCAGCGAGAGGCAAGCGAGATGCCGACCGAAATCGCAGACCGAATTGTTGACGAAGGGACAGACGGAAGGCTCGAAAGCGGGGATAAGGTCGACGACGTTACCGAGCTACATGAAGATCGGACGGAAGACGTCGACGGGGAATCCGCCGGCGCGAGGTGTCGACGAGCAGAGACGAGCCTCGACCAGCGGAACGTTGACGAAGCAGAGCAAGGAGAGATCGAATTACGTGAAGAAGACGGCGACGCGCGTCCCGACGCACGTCAGAGCGTTCAGCGACGCGAACAGCGCCCGTTCGAACTCTCCGGACACGTCGTCTTCGATATTCGGCTTCTGCACCGGAAAGAGGAGGATGCAAACGTCGTCCGTGGCGCGTAGATCCCCGTCGTGGAACTTGAAAACGGTTTGGCATTGTCTGCGGAACGATTCGAGAGAATATTAAGATCTAGCGAAGCTTTAACCTTTAGATGATTCACTTTATTCCCGCGGCAATATTTCAAGTGCATATAAATACAAGTTATCGTAGTTCAAACGACCGGCGAGAAAGTTAAAATAATCCGTTTTCTGACAAGCTGTTTGTTATTTTAATTGGGTTAAATTTTGAGTTTACCTTAAATAAAAGTTTAAAGTATCCAAATTTACTTTTCATATTTCTTATCTTTTTAAAGTAAAATTTTAAGCCAAAAGAAAAATATCACTTATAGTCGCCAGTGATGATTAAAAATTAAAACAGTGAACTTTATCAACCCGACTGGCAAATTTTAGATTCGTTTGTCTACGAATTTTTCTTAATTTCTTATTTGGTTCGTTCATTTGGTCTTTTCTTTTTACTAGATAATTAATAATTTTAATCTTTTGTTGATTTGCAGTATTGTTACATGAAAAGGATCTGAAGTAAGGTCGAAACGTTGTAACGAATTCAATAAAATTTGCCAGTTGGGTTGACAATAAGCTCACTGTTTTAATTTAAAATTTTACGGTTTTCTAAGATGCATTTTCCCAACGGCTAATAATATGCTTAAGAAAGATAGATACAAATTGCGCGGGTCGCTGAAATATCAGCGAGAGTAGATGAAGCACTTGTGTTATTGAACCGCTTATTTAAAATACAATGATACTGTTATATTTGCAGGGTGAATTGGTGTGGTTCGACCCCGGCGTCGGCCATGTGCTGCCAGGCGAGGTTCTGGAATACCACAGAGCCGCCAATGTACTCTCGGTCCAAGCGGTGATCGCCGGCAAGGTAAGATAAGACTGTCTAGAAAGCGCTTACTAATCGTCTGTATCTTACCCGTGCATAATTACGTACGACAGACGTGAAAGAACTCAACGGCTAAGAAAAGATAGGCCAGATGTGCTCTTTCGGTAAACAGACCTTTCTATGGATAACACACGCGGCTACACCTCGAGCTCCAGGCAACCAATCACCTTGAAGTTTCTAAAAACGACGTCACTCGCGGCTTAACTTCGCGCATCTTCGCGAATGTTTACCTAAATGTGGATTCCTTTCATTTATCTTAAATTTGGTTTCTTGAAAAAAAATTTTTTGATGCATTTAAAATTAATTTTATCGTTCCAGTACTGAAGTTTTGAAAATATAATAATATAGCTCGCTCGCTCATCTTCGCCAAAACGTTTACGTAAATGTTGCACTTCTTTCTTTTATTTATTCATTCACTTGATATTCCGTAAAAAGCATTTAAATGTATTTAAAGTCGATTTTATCATTGGATTATTTACACTTGAAAATATAATGATTCGACTAACTCTCGGAGCAAAATATTGAAGACAACTTGCGTTTCGACTTGACTCGGTCGTAAAGCGATTAAGATAATCCAAACGCAATCAGATAGAGCAGGTATGGAGCAAGTGCGTGGTATCCGAGTGATCCACTCGTCGGTTCCTTGACTTTCTAGCGCGACCCTCGCGCGTTTGAATTCGTTTCATTTGGCGAGAACGAGAGGGGCAACTCTCACGTCGCGCGCTCGCGCCCGCGCCAATCTGGTTTCCACGTTTTTCATTCACTTTTTCGTCCTTCGCGCGCGTACATTTTCAAGTTCGCGCCACCTTGAGTCGCACGCGACTGGTCATCGATCTCCCCGGTCGTGGGTGACGGTAGAATTTTAAGAGGCGAGGCGCGGCAAAGCGAAATTGACTGACGGACGATTATTCGCACGCGTCGTAGTTTCTATTAACACGAGGCAACCGCCTCATTATGCAACCGACACCCATCGCGGGCCATTTAACAACGCGCAGTTTTTCCTGCCCGCCTGCTTTGTGTTCCCCACGTTGCATTGTCGTGCACCAGTTGCAGCACTGCACTTCACCGGTGTCCCATTATAGATGACGACGCGCATTGGCGTAAGCCACACTAATCACCTTAAAAAAAAAAGAGAGATATTAGGATATCTGTACACTTAAGAAGATCCTTCAGCCATCTTTTTTACCGACACAGTCAAATATAGTTTTCGCGCTTGTAATTCTTTTTATTAGCTTTTATGCGCAAAATAATACCAGGATAAGTTGCGGACCGCACAGCAGAACATTTTCATACTTAAAGGACTCAGTTCAGAAGTCTAATAAAAAAGATATTGGTAGTTGAAAGTTTCAATTCGTAGTTCCAACTAAATTTGAAATTGGCTTTATAAAATTGCAAAATTCTTCCACACGATTGAAGTAGCACAAAACTTTTGTCATCTCTTTGTAATATAACGTGAAATTTTCGTTAATCCGCCGGAAATAACTGTTATCGCCGGCGCCAATGGAGATGCAACTGCAAACGCAGACGGGCTGGTATCCGGTTAAGTCTCACGTGAGTGGCTCTCTCGCTTCTTATGTGAATTCGCACGAATCCTCATTTTTTGTCGGACATTCTCCTTACAAGCCGCGTCGAGAAAATGTGGCAGAGGCGATCGCAAAATTCGCTTCAGTTGGAAAGCCACGTTTTTTCGGTGTTTTCCCGCGTCCCTTTTGCGCCATTAGAAATTGGAAAGAAAGTGTCGCCGGGTAATCGCGGGCTCGTGACTAGTCATAAAAATTATACAAATGCATACTGTCGAGCCCGCAGCGACCACTTTGGATCTTCGTGCGGAAAAACGACGAATAATTGCATACAATTATGTGTTTAAGCCGCAAGTCTTCACTCTCACAAACCTGAGCGGAGTGAAGCCCAGGCAGGACTTAGGCCAAAATGGTGTGGAGGACATGATTCAGTTGACGTAAGTCGCGAAATTGTCACGTGTCTATTTGCGTAATTAGCACGTGCCGGCGTAAACAAATTGAATAAATTGCAGGGATCTGAACGAGGCGTCGTTACTATGGAACTTGAAGATCCGTTACGACAAGGAATTAATTTACGTACGTTTCACACTCGCGCCGACGTATTTATTTGCCCCTGCCGTTAATAACTGACCTGAATAATCGTTCGCGATGAACTTTCAGACGTACACGGGAAGTATCCTCGTGGCGGTGAATCCGTACAAAATGTTCGACATCTACGGATTGGATCAAGTGAAGCTTTACGAGGGACGAATCCTCGGTACACTCCCACCGTTAGTATTAATTTCTTTATCTATTTCCGCGAAAGTAGTTTAAAAAGCAAAAGGTTCCTCCTTTTCAAATTTGATTTGCATCATCCCACCGTTGCTATTCGATTCCTTTATCTATTTCCGCAAAGGTCGTTCAAAAAGTAAAAGGTTCCTTTAAAAAAGTATTTATTGTATCAAAACTTATGTCACATCTCGATCGACTTGCATCTGAAAAAGACTTGCTTATCATTTCACTGTACTTCGCAGGCACTTATTCGCCGTGGGCTCCTCCGCGTACAGTCAGGTGACAGCAGCCAATAACTCCAGTGCCAATCAGGTAGTCGTCATTTCCGGCGAGTCCGGCTCGGGGAAGACGGAGTCTACGAAGCTGGTGATGCAATATCTCGCGGCCGTCAATCGCGCGCCGAACAATCTCGTCACCGAACAGATCCTGGAAGCGACGCCGCTCCTGGAGAGCTTCGGGAATGCCAAAACGCCGCGGAACGACAATAGCAGTCGATTCGGGAAATACCTGGAGGTTCACTTCAGAGAGTGAGTAATATTTTTAAAAAAATGTGTACACATACATTTAAAAAAAAACAATGAAGTAATAATCTAACGATTCTGTTGGTGCCACATCACGCAAACAATTTTTCTATTTCTCAGCGGCGCGATCGTAGGCGGTAGAATAACGCAATATCTTCTAGAAAAGAGTAGGATAGTAACTCAGGCTTCGGAGGAGAGGAACTACCACGTGTTCTATGAACTTCTAGCTGGACTCGACCAGCAACTCAGGGATAAATACGGCCTGCTTACACCGGACAAGTATTTTTATTTAAACCAGGTGTGTGTTGTATGTTTGTGTGCTCGCGAACGCACGATACAATCCCCGTATCTCGGCTTAGAGGGAGAGGGGATGTTCGGCAGTATCGCAAAATTAATAATAATCAATAATAAAGCAGCGATGAAATTCTGTTCGCCTTCATTCCAGGGCGGAAACTGTGAGATCGACGGCAAGAGCGACGTGCAGGATTTCAAGGCGCTCTTGTCGGCCATGCAGGTTCTCGGCTTCTCGTCCGAGGAACAGGACACGATTTTCAAGATCCTAGCCAGCGTGCTGCATCTAGGAAACGTTTACTTTCACCGGAAGCAAATGAGGCACGGCCAGGAAGGTGTGGAAGTCGGTTCCGACGCTGAAATACGCTGGGCGGCGCACCTTCTTCAAGTAAATTCCGATGGCATCATCCGAGCACTCACTACCAAGACGACAGTAAGTCTAATATCGAAGAGACATAGAGATGTTTAACAGGAAGTTTACGAGATTTTTCAAACATTCACAAGTACATTCTTGTTATTTCGACTACCGTTAAATTAACAAGACGTAAATCCATTCATTGTTGCAGGAAGCACGGAACGAGAGAGTCTTCACGGCTTTGAATATCGACCAAGCCCTCGACGCCAGGGACGCTTTCGCGAAAGCCTTATACAGTTCGCTCTTCTCGTGGCTAGTCGCGCGCGTCAACCACATCGTCTACAAGGGCACGAAGCAGACGGCCGCCATTTCGATCCTCGACATCTTCGGGTTCGAAACCTTCACGGAGAACAGCTTCGAGCAGCTGTGTATCAACTACGCGAACGAGAACCTGCAGTTCTACTTTAACAAGCACATCTTCAAGCTCGAGCAACAGGAGTACGCGAAGGAGAAGATCGATTGGACTACCATCAACTACACGGTGAGCTTGATTTGGGCGATATAATTATTGGAAGAAACTTTCGCGAAACGTGTCAGCGCGTGAGTCGCGGAAATAATTTGACTATTCGTTTGCCCGCCACAGGATAACTTGCCGGTCATCCATCTGATCGCGAAGAAGCCGGTGGGTATTCTTCACCTGTTGGACGACGAGAGTAACTTCCCTAAGGCGACGGATCTTTCTTTCTTGGAGAAATGCCATTACAATCACGCGCTGAGCGAACTGTACTCCAGGCCTAGAATGAACTCCGCCGAGTTCGCCATCAGGCATTACGCCGGACAGGTCTGGTACAACGTTGAGGGTTTCCTAGACAAGAACAGGGATACATTGAGACCGGATGTAGTCGAGTTGCTGATCAGCAGCAAGATTTCGGTGAGTTCCCATCTTGCTTATGCTGCTAGACCAAAAAGATCTTATAGAAATATGGTGACACGGTCGTGATGATTGCAGATGGTCAGCAAGATGTTCCAGCACGTCAGAAACACTCATGAAGCTAATAAAACTATGAACAAACCGAACGGCAGATTCGTCACCATGAAGCCGAGAACCCCGACTGTTTCGGCTCGATTTCACGATAGCCTTCAGCAACTCTTAGAGTCTATGTCTCAGTAAGTGTTCTAAAACAGGATCAAACGGTATTAAAAACTGGCAAAGACGTTACGAATTATAACAAATAGGAAAACTATATTAATTTCATAATTTTAAATTAATAATTTAAAAATCTAATAAACTTATTCCAACATTTTGATTAACATTTTTACCGATCTATTGGAATTTGGCAACAATTATTATTGTCGCGACTCGGTTGGTTACAATTAAAGTATTTAATTTCGTCGCATTTGCAGATGTAATCCGTGGTTTGTTCGCTGCATCAAGCCGAACACGGAGAAGGCACCGATGAAATTTGACATGCCCTGCGTGCTCGAACAATTAAGATACACGGGCATGTTGGAGACGATCCGCATCAGGAAAACCGGCTACCCGGTTCGCCTTCTGTTCGGACACTTCGTGGATCGGTATCGTTACCTTGTTTCGACGCATTTGCCCAGGGGAGCGCCCAACAAAGAGCTCTGCAGAATAATCTTGGACAAAGCGGCTCCGAAAGAGGCGCAGTCCCAGTACCAGCTCGGACTCACACGAGTGTTTTTACGCGAATCGCTGGAGAGAGCCCTGGAATATAACAGAGCGTTGATTTTGGAAAGAGCGGCCATCACAGTCCAGAGGTATGTGTCAAATTATGCAAAAAGGAAAGACGCGAAAGGACAAAATTTCGTAATTATATTAATTTACATATATATAATATATGTACATATATATAGTATATATTTATTTAATTATGCATATATAGATATAATTCTCTGTGATGATTAAATATCTCACAGAATTCTTTCACTACACCTGCTTCGTGTAAACAGTGAAATTAATGTGAATAAATATGTGTGAATCTCTCCCGGACGTCGCTCTAACGGTTTCTTTTCCAGATACACGAGAGGCTTCTTGGCACGCAGAAGATTCCTCAATATTTCCCGCAGCACAGTTCTGATACAAGCAGTGTATCGCGGATACCGCGAACGTAAACAGTTCCGCGCGATGAGGAAGGGTGCCCTGATGGCGCAGAAATTATACAGAGGTAGGAAGCAACGGGAGACGTTTAAGGTATTGAAGGATGAGATGGTGAAGAGAGCGGAAATCGAGAGAGCCAGCAAGGAACGCGCGAAGGCGAAGCAGCAACGGGAGGAACAGGAAAGGACCTCGCGAGCCGTTGCCGGTGTGAACCATTTGGAAATCCCCGCGGAACTAGCCTTTATTTACAGCAAACTTGACGGTACGTTTCTACCAGAATGAAGACAGTGTCATGGAACTCATTCAGATCTTCAGGCGTGCTTTCCATTTTTCACAAATCACTTTTCGGATTGTTGTATATTTTGTTCTGTAATTTCCAGACTGGCAACCCACACATACCGAACGAAATCTCCTCAAGGTTGTCGGCCAAGTCATCTCGATGAACTACACCTACAATCTGCCACCTGACATCGATCAGTATCAATTCTCGAAGTTCACCAACATTTATTTCAAGAGCCATATATTTGGGATGAAGCGCGAGCCGATCAAGACGCCGTTCCTGGCGAAGGCACGCGATCAGGACTACACGGACTCCCTGATGATCTTTAAAATGATACTGCGCTTCATGAATGAGAGTAATCTTAACGGCAAACGCGAACAAGCATTGGGCGACTACATCGTTAACAAGGGCATCGTGAACGAGAAGCTGAGGGACGAGATACTGTGCCAGTTGGCGAATCAAACCTGGAAGAACGAGAATGACGCCAACAAGGAGAGAGGCTGGCTACTGCTGTCCAATTGCTTGTCAGCGTTCCAGCCCAGTGCCACGCTCTTCAAGTATCTTCTCAAGTAAGTGTTTTTACCCACGTCGGACGATACGTCATTATAATTGTCCCTAATTAATATTTTTTAATCAGATACGTCTCCGATCACGCCTATGACGGCTACAAGGCCTACTGCCAGCGCAAACTGTTGCAAGGCGAGAGAACAGTGTATCGTATGATGACCAATAATCAGCAAACGGTGCACCAAGTGCCCAGGAATTATCCACCGTGCGTTCTAGAATGGCGAGCCAACAGGAATCGCGTAAACATGGCGCTCAACGTTGGTTTCTACGACGGTAAATCTCCTGGAATTCGTAAAAGTAAGGCGCGCTGTCATGCAAACTCTATTGTAATCGGTAATTTCGTGTTTTATAGGTGAGACAACTACGTGCGCCATAGATTCCTGGACGACGTGCGAAGAGTTGGCCAATCTCGCGGTTCGGAACCACGGGGTGGAGAACACCGGTTGGACCATCACGCTCTGGAATCAACTGGACGGCCCGGACGCTATCGTGACGGAGACTAACGGTTTCGACTACGTCCTGGACTTGATCTCGGAGATGGAGTTGGCGCCAGCTTTCCCCGCCGCCAAGCATATGTTCTTGGAACAGCGCAAGAACAGTCTGCCACCCATAAAGAAACGAGAGGTAAGAAATTTTCAGTAGTGATTAAAGAAGTCGTAAGGTATAAGCTCAGCAGAACGGGCTTAATTGCTATTGAATTGTTATACTTTCATATTAAAAATGATGAAATATCTTTTTCTCAGCACGTCCAAGTTATTCGGGAGTTGGAACAGGAAATGGAAATCCCTATCTTAAAAACCTTCCAGCCTTTGGAGAGGAAATCAGTGCCAAAAGCAGTTGACAAGTCTGTTGAGTTAGAGATTCAGGTACCCAGGCGGCCGATAGTTCCTCCGCCGCAGCCACCCGTTACAAAACTTCCCGTAAGTTTGAGCAACCTCGCAATTTTTTACAAGCAAGTAAAGAATTTAACTATAATTCTAACACACAATTTTTCCAACAAGATATTAACATTATAACATTCAATAATTCCAAGACAAGTAAACTAAAAAATTTACTATAAAATATATTTTTAAACTATATTTCTGTTAAAAATGTTAAAAGGCAGTATGTATG